AAGCTTCCCGCCAAATTTTACTAGGGAATCACGCGCTAAATTTCAAAAGTAATCAGTCCACTTGTAACTGCTACATAGTAAAAGTAATCAAGTAATTCCAAAATTGTTCCAGAAGATCCTGAATTACAAGTGATTTGATTTTAGTTGTTGTGAGTACCGCACAAGTCTGCTTCTGGGGGCCATTTTTGTGTCAACAAAGCCAAAACCACCAAAATCTTTCCATCGCTGATGTTTACTTGCATTCATATATAATTACAAATAATGCAAATGAATCGAGCACTTTCGTGACATTTTGCGGTAACCTTATCCGACGCACCCTAACCGCGACTGTAAGAAGCTTTGTTTTGATTCCCTTATTCTTACGACTTTATGATTCGACCACCAAGCGTTGGCATCATTTACAGGGCGTTCTCGACCGCTATTCAGTCGTAATATATATATATATATATATATATATATATATATATATATATATATATATATATATATATATATACATATATATATATATATATATATATATATATATATATTTATTTATTTATTTATTTTATAAATAGGCCAATGATCGGAGTGTGTTGACAATTTCGAGAGGATGTCTTCAAAGAGCGCCATTTGTCATACTTACATTTCCTGAGTGCAGGTTTGCGGAGAAATATAAAAGAAACGCAAAACGCGTTTTTCTTAAAGCAAGAAAAGCGGAAACAAACTGTCTGAATGGAGCTGTTGCTCAGAGATAGCTAGGACTACATAGAACAAACACTTGAAGGCACCTTTGAGACGATTAAAGCAGAACCAATAGATTCTAGCGAGTGGTATACATCTGCAAGTAGCCAGATTGTTGCTTTTATTTATTTATTTATTTACATTTGTTTGCATAGGCATGGCATGTTGTTTTCTTGAATATTTTTTCTTCACATGCCGATAAAATCAAAATTTGAGCATGATAAATGCACCACCTGAAGACATCTTTCAGAAAAGATTTGTGACACTTTATTTTGGCTTATTAAAACGGATTTTTTTACGACTGAATAGCGCTGGATAACATCCTCTACTACTGTGCACTACTGAATCATCTCAGTACTCGTGCTTTAACTCCTGTGTGCCGTTTATTTCGCGGGAATCGGTACTAATAATAGGTCTCCGGTGCGCCGTGTGCAGCTTTTGTTTCTGTATTTGTGTTTCTTTGCTTTGAGGTAGGACAAACTTTCTTCTTGGTAAGTTAACGTCACGCAAGTACTGTGGCTGAATGTATTAAAAACGGGACGTCCATTTAACTCAACGAAAGACCACCAAAAATGCCTGTCACCACGCTACTTCCATCCTCTGTGAAACACCCAGAGTCGTGGAATTGCTCCATGGAATTGAATCGCACCAGATATGCGATACCCAGAGCTGCTTGTTTCGAAAATGACGTGATTTTCCGCCTATAGCCTCGGGGTATTGTAGCCCAGAAACTGAACGCTTGTAAATCACGCTTGGCGCGACTTTAGGCTTACCAGGTGTACGACACCTAGGGCTAGCTGTTTTGAAAACGACGTGCAGTGCCGCTTAGGCCACATGGCACTGCATTGGCAATTCGTGGCATATGGGCTCAGTCTCTCCGAAGTGAGTTAAATTTTTTAATGCGAAAGCAATAAATGTTTCATGCAGTGATCCCGGCGAAAAAACGGCACGTAAATTCCCATTGGCTGAGCGAAACGGCACCAAAATTCCCATTGGTTGAGTGAAACGGATCCTAGATTCTTATTCCCAATAAAACACAAAGAAAAGCACAGCAACACAGATGCTTCGTCACGGAAGCCGGCGGTTGCGCTCAAGGGCAAAGCGGACGCGCCTCCGAAATAAAACACACAAAAAAAGATCGAGGTACACCTAAGCACTTCTTAGGAGTTGTGAATGCGAAAGCATGTGATGTACATCAATCTTGCTCTACGCGTGTTGGCGCGCTGACTGGCGCTGACTATTGTTCCTGTATAGACCTTTTCAGCCTCCTCCGCATGGGCGCTGCCATCTTGGAGTCACGTGATGCGGCCGCCATTAGGTTGCTTCAACTTGTTGCTCCGCTCTCCCGTCCGCGCCTTGGCGGATGCGTTGAATTCGTGTTTTTCATCGCGTTTCACAGCGTCTCTTGCCTTACTCCGTAAAGTGTCGTCCGATACTTATACTTACCATGCAATTGCATTACATCATTATGCGCGCAACTTCTGTAGTTGATTTTGTAACACGTTTTGAATATTTTTTACCGTCGGCGTGCGGGATACGTGTGAAAAGGTTTTATAGGAACAGGAATCAGCGTTAGCACTCGCGCACATTGAATACATATATGCCTTGAAGAGAGCCTCGAGGGTTCAAATGCCAATAACTTATGAGAGCTGAGGTTTGGTTACTAATAAGGGCGGACCATTTGCAATAGGAAGCCCAATGTTTTTATATATATATATATGAGTGCGCATTGGTATCAAAGAAGAAAACAAAAACACTCAGCGTAATTAGCCACGTGTTTTTCCCGAAAACATGGTGCTTTGTAGTTCCAACAGTTCGAAAACAGTTTTTTTTATTACACTAGGGAACTAGTGGGCAAGGCGCGGGAACAAACATTTAGTTTGAATTATTTTTAATGCTAGAAATAATGGTACCTCAACATTAGGCAACTTGTTTGTTCGCAATATCACACATATATCTGTTTTACGTTCTTAATCGCGTGTGTGGTATAAGCATTCGCTTTATCGGTTTATTTATGAATTCCACGGAATTGTATAGCCTGCTTGGTCTCATGTCCATAGTCATTCAGTTGCTTAAGTCATTTTTTAATATAACCATGCAGTTTCAATTAATTTATTTCAACACAAATATTTGAACTCCCCGCGTAAGAAACTGTCACAGACAACTTGATAGTGCCTATGATTCATAAAATGTGACGCCGAAAAGAATTCTTCTCCATGAAAATCACCCTAGCGCAGCCGGTTGTCGGCTTCGAATAGGGAGTTACTTTCAGTAGATGGCGACGCCAAAATGTGCAAAGCGCATCGTTTCAAATCAGTGAACAGTTTTCTACAAAGGTCCATTGGGTGGCGCCTGGCGTTCGACTTTAGCCAAACTTATCGGAGATAATTTCTTTTGCGCTCTTCAATTTCATTCGGCAAATTTTACGGAAGATGACTATCAGACTTTATTTGAAGCCTGGCATTCACTTATCTTACCATTCTCATACCTTGAGAACGTTGTAAGCAAATGTCCATATGACAAAAAGTTTATTTCATAAGGCCAATATTTTGATATGCTGTTAATGAGTACTTTAGTTAAAGAAATTTTCTAGTCAGCCTAGGCTGGTCTATCAAAATATTTCTCGAGCGCTTAATTTCTTTAAATAAAACAGGCCAAGACAATGTCACTTTTTTATATTATCTACGTGATTATATTAAACTTTTCTAGTCATTATAAAAGACGTTTCCAGTCTCGAAGTTAGAAAAGAGTGGTGTACGGAAACCAAACATCGAACAGTAAACTTGTCAGTTCATCTGTTCTTGGTGATTCAGCAGATTGTTAATCATGTTGTCGACCTGATTTTTCACTAAGCACTCATGCAATATAGTCTGTTGCTATATAGGATGATCAGTTCAATATCTGACTTGAGCGCGAGCTACCTACTTCCGTACCGCTCGGTGCACGCACAGCCAAAGCACGGCGGCAGGCAACGAGCGCATGCTGCAGGAGGAGCTGGTCCTGCTCTTTATTTATTTTTTTTTCTTCTTGAAATTAGTGTCTGCAGGTACGGCCGTGGACAATGGTACTTTTCCCTGTGCATCAGCGCAGTTGTTTCACCGCCGAACCTGGCCGAAATTAATGATGGACGGAATCAGACGCATATGGTGTTAGTAAAAAAAAGGTCGCAATTTAGGCTCGAAACCACTTCGTGGTTTGCCAAGTGGCTCAATACTATTGTTTCATTCGTTGTGTGCTACTAGAAAGAAATTCATATCGCAAAATTAATCGAAAGTGGCATGAAACAGCATCGCAATTGCGTGCATGTTGAAACCGAAACTGACCAAATTGAAGCAACCTAATGGCGCCGAGTGCATCAGCGCCCTCTACCCGCCGGTCAGGCAACTACTGAAATGAAAAGGTCTTACAGGAGCCCGAGTTGCGCGTTCATCCCCGTAGCGCCATCTTTCCTGCACGGTATGGTGATCCAGCTCCTCACGTGACAGAATTCGGCGAATAGCGGCGCCGCGCGTTCGAGGCGCGCGGCGCGCTTGAAAGCAGGGGAGCGTACGGCGGGGCGCACGCAACATCTGCTTTCTGGCACAGCACTCGATCCGGCTCCCCACGTGATCGTATCTCGGCGAATAGCGGCGCGGCGGCACGTGGAAAACAGACGGGCAACTCTGGCTCATCTAGCACTGACGGACACGCAGCGCCATGAGGTGGCCGGTCGTTGAAAATGACGAGCAGCGTCAGTTTCAACGACCGCCACCCGATGGCGCTGCGTGTCCGGCGAATGGAAGCCTGGTCGACGGGTGCTAGCCAATAGGATCGCAGCGGTGTAAAAGGTTCCGTTGGCTGTGGACACGCGCTAGCCAATGGGATCGAAGCGGTGTAAAAGAGCCGTTAGGCGTGGTTTCAAAGCTGATGACGTCGGCTCGCTCCATGAGACAGTAAATGCTTTCGCATTAATAGACACAGCAAAGCAATGCTTCGTCAAGGAAGCCGTCGTGAAGCCGGCGGGGTTCGCCGCGCCTGCGCAGTGGGGGAGCGTGATGTCACCGCCGGTGCGCCATATGCAAAAGGAACACGTGGCGTGCTGCTTGTAGGAGTGCGCTGCATGTTACGAATGCTTTCGTATTCCTACACGTAAGCAGTCTTAAAGACCGACGACCAGTTCACGCTTTCCACTTTTCCCCCGCTTCCTCCTCTCCCCCTTTCTTCCCTGTTCACCGTTGCTTGTTTCCTCCTCCCCCAGGGTGAGGAGGACATTCTGCCAAGCAGAATCTCGCGTCTGGTCGTCGGCCTTTAAGTGTCCTTTTGAGTTTTTTGTAAGAAGAATGGAGGTAAGTGCTGACTTCTTTTTGGTGACTATGAAGCTATGCGATAAGAGCATTCTTTTTTCTGATTGTTCACTTCTAAAGCGCAGTCTGCAAGCACATCCGCTCTTACGAAGCAGGACCTAAAGGGGTTTGGCAGAGATTTGTCCAGGTCACCATGCTGCTGAGAATCAGGAAGGGTTGATGTCCCTGTTGCCCATGCTCTCAAGTTTTTTGAGCTTCCAGAAGTAGCCTTGAGTACAGAGCATAGCTTTTTTGTGCCGATTCGCTAGACACCTGTCGTACGCTGAGGCACACATCCAGAAGAAGGCGAGCACCAAGGTGCATTGGGCCAAAAGAAAGAATAGACCCTCGTAGTCTCCCAGCTTGTCTCTGTAATGACCTGTAAGGGATGGAAAGCAGAGTTAATGTAAACCTATAAATATCCTCTTAAAAAATGAAATAAATATAATATATATATTTTTTTAGAAATTAGGTTACGTATATATGTTTTAAGTTAAAACGGCGGGAAGATAATTAGCCCCAATGGGCGACTGGTGTCTCACTCTGTCGATGGAAAATTTTGCCAGTTCAGTACGGCTGCTAGCCTGGGCTTGTTTGATAGAATCAGCGTCTTAGCTGATACTGTGTGAAAGAGAGCCTGCCGAGCCTGGGATCCGTGAGCACTTGAGACTCGACCTCGCGTGTCAACCCTCTTGTACCCTACTGCAGCTTCAGCAGTGCTTTCGTTCATGCAGTCTTGGCTATGCCTTTTTTCTAGCAAGTCAGCCCTGGTGTCTTTGACGCGCCCCGTATGCAGTGGCGATACACAGCCGCACGCCTGTATACGATGCTTTTCCAAATCAAGAGCGTCAGGGGTGGGGACTGGGCCCAGGATCCCTGGGATTTCTGCCGCGAGAGTTTCTCCCCTTAGTCCTCAGAGTTACCGTGCGCTGAACGCATACCGGATGCTTCTGCTAATACTTTAGGAAATCCATACAAATGGGAACGAGAAAAAAACAACAAAAAACCTTGCAGCAGGTGGGAAGCGCGGGGCCGCTTGTCAGTTCCACTCATGCAGCAGGCAGAGGGCTGGCGATGCGAAAACACGGATGATTTTCTTATCTGCGCTTTGCATCGACAGCCTTGCTCCTGCTGTACGAGCGGAAATCTTAGCGCATACTCACGATTCACAAGTTCTCAAAAGTATATTTCAACTTATCTAAGGATTTTTGATGACATCAGCAACTTCATTATTGGAACTATGTGTCTACTTCCACAAATTCAAAATTTACTTAGTAAAAGTTTGAGAATTATTTTGCTAATTAGTGTTTGCGTGCGTGTGTGTGTGTGTGTGTGTGTCTGTGTGTATGTTTCAATTCCTGACGTCTGGCATGAAATTGGGTATTCTGATAGTCTTTGCTGAACCACCCGGTATGTGAATGCGCAAACCTGTCTAACGTAACTCACGTGCCAAAAATAAGTATACGTAGCGTTACTGATCGGTATACAAAAAAGTGTGGCTAGGAAAGGTTTGTGCGATCTAACAAAACCTAGCTTTTCGGAGGACTCAGATGTCTAAAGGTGTAAGGCATTGTTTTCTTTTTATGCCGGTATAAGGGCTTACGACATTTTTGTGCTTTGTTTGAAATCCCGTGGGTGAACACTTTATGTAACACCTTTATCGCGGGAAATAACTAAATCAGGTTGAAATACAACTTCCGTTTCTGTTCGGCATAGACCTTGAAATGACATAGAAGCAAAGCTTTAATTATTCTTTTTGTGTCATACTTTAATTTTGTCTGGTTGTGGCTATAGGCCCTTTCTTGTTTACAAACGCAAGCCGTCTTTTGGCTCCCAAGCGACTTCCGGTGGCTCCGTTATTGCAGTCTCTCCAAGTCTGCTGATATCAAATTCGTGAGGCAATGAACTTCTACGGAAATTACAAAGTCGGGGATGTTGCGAGGAGCGTATTTTGCAATATTCAACATATACGAGTCGGGTCGCGTTCGCCTTACATGAATCATAAAAGATCCCGAGGAACTTCTCGCTAACCCTTCATTTAACTAACCATCTGAGAACTGATCATAAAATATTTCACGAACGTTAGAAGAAGCGGTGCTATAGTAGAGATTGTTTGTCCTTTCATTTGACTGGAAGTAAGCGGAGATATAAATTGCCAACAGCGTCTGGCTCCCGGCGCTTAAAAACAACAACAAAAAAGTATATAGTTTGTTGCAGCTTAAAGGGGCACTGACACATCAAAATCATATTTTTTTTTATTATTCGAAACGATTGAAAACGATGCCGGGACATTACCCTCAAAATTTGAGATTTGGGAATTCAGTATTCGTGAAGTAAAAAAACAATTTCCAAATGCCGAATTCGAAGTTCCCGCGCGATCGGCGCCGGTGCCTTGACGTCAAAAATTGCGGAGACCTGAGAGTCCACTTCCTTTCACCACTCCCTGCTGTTGCCATGGCGACCCAAAGCGAGGAGGAAAGGAGCGAGCGCCCGGCGTTGCGGCGGACCGGTTTTGAGCGGTGTCGCCTGTTTTCCGTTGGAGGATACAAATCCAGGAGACGGCACCACAACGAACTCCCGATTTTTGGTATTTCAAAAAGAAGGGCCGTAGTGCGTTCGCAATTGCGTTAAAAAACATGTTTTAGGATTGCCGTAATTAAATGTTATAGAGATGTCGCCTACAAAGCTTCTAAATTTCCTGATTTTTGACGTCACCGATCAAAAGAAGCGAGGAGGCGAGAGGCGGGAAAATCAAACGCCAAAAATAAAAAGGCGCGCGCGCGCGCGGGAAACTTTTTTTTCGCGATGCGGTTTTTTTTGCGTGTCTATGACTGCAACTTGCATCGTTTTAGACAATAAAAATAAATACGACCTTTGGGGTGTCAGTGCCCCTTTAAGACAAGCGGGACAAGTCCCTCCCACAAAGAAAACCACCAATCGCAATGATTGGTGGTTTTCTCCTTTCCACTCGCTTCCTTTCCAGCGTTCGCTGTACTAAAATCGAACCGAACAAAATCGTGGGAGGAACTTGTTCTGCTTTTCTTATCCAGAAACAGCCTGTAGAGGACGATGGAATCAAAACTGAAACGTAAAATAATTTAGATGCAAAATTGAGGAACGTAAGCCGCTTGAGTACACAATACGCTGGTTCTGATCCAGATGAATGAAAGTACTCACCTATCAGTGATGGCCTCAAGAAGCCTAAGACACCCACTGCGAACGAGCTGACGCCGTAGCAGACACCGTATTCGGACAGCTCAACGATATCCATCAACAACACTGGGATTAGTGTTAGCGTCGAGCCGTTGCACCAACCAGCAAGCACGGACATTGACACTTGATAGTAGTAGTCGTTGCAGACCGGAATCACAAAAAAGGTCACTGCCCACAACAAGAAGTTGACGGCTGTCCACGTGCTTCTAGAGAAGATGTGTCTGTCTGTGATCCAACCGGAGCCAAGACGTGCCGCCAGGTCCGTGACTGTATACGACGAAAGGAGGAAGACAGAGTTCCACTTGGAGATTCCACGGTCCACCGCAAAATCCACGATGACCGTTAGGTAGCTGGTCATGTTGAAGGAGATGACGGCCTGCGTAAACATGACCAGGTAGAACATCGGTGACTTGAGGAAGGAAAGACATCGCTTTCTTTTGATTTCCTTGGAATTCGATGCGACGTTCTTATCATTGCAAGTTGAGTGCAGTGTCTCACCATTCGGCATCACCAGACTGTTTATTGAGTCAGCGCGGTTGGGCTTCGAGCCACAAAGGCCTCCACTGTCGTTATTCCTCGACCAAGCTACATCCCTGATGCCTTTGGTAGAAGCCTCGCATTCGACCTGCTTATTGCACAGATCAGTTGCTGTTAAAAGAGAACGCGACACTTTGTCGCCGTTTTGATGTTCATATTGAGAAGTTGCTTCATCATAATAGATTCGCTTCTGATGACTTCGTTTTTCGTCGTCGGATACTACCATTTCCGTTCGGAGACTGGAGTATGTCTCTGATTCTAGTTTCTTTGTTGACCGTTGGGTAGGTTTTGTAGTGCGGTCTTGTCGGGGAGGCGGAGAGGCCCGTTGGAAAATGGGTCCGGCTATGGAGTTGAGCATGAGGGCGCCGCTGAGCAGAAACGTTCCTCGGAGTCCGTACATGCTGAAGTACTGCACCAGCGGAGGAAACACGAACCCTGAGATGGAGTTACCGGCCATGTTGATGCCAGACGCGGCGGCTCGGTACCGGACGAAGTGTTGGTTGACGACCATCGTGTTAAGCCTTAGAACGCTTATACCAGCACCTAGAAAACAGAAACATGCATATGTAGAACAGTTAATTAATTTGCCAGAAGAATTTAACTAAGAAGTTTACGTATCAACTTTATCAACCTCTACATGGGGAGTTTCCACCAAGAGCCTATTTTGTTCTGAGTCTTTTGTTTGTTTCATTAATTCATTCACCCTTAAGGGTCCTTTTAGGAGGGCATGACAACTTATATAAAAACGGCCAACAAACATGTGACAACATACAGGGTGTTTATTTTATCGTATAGAAAATTTTGTAAAACGAATTGTGAAAGTTACAAAAAGGCGGTCTGTGCAATTGAGTTATACGGCCAGAAGGAAATAATGCTCAAGAAATAATGCAACTAAAACACGACTAATTACGAAAATTCAATCTTTACTTTTTTAAATAGACGTCTTAGGGCACATGTTTATATTGAAGAAATGGAAGTAATAAATGTGGGAGGCCAGCCCAGTTTCTCAAAATTATGGATCGAGCACGAAGTTGGAGTCACTATGGCCAAATTTTGTTCTGGAAAACTGTCATTACCGAAACCAAACGAGCGATGCCTGCCGGAAGGACAACCCTTGTTTGACGCCAGGAGCTCACGTGTTTTTCAGTAATATTGCACAGCAAAGCAAAGCAACTTGTCGCGGCCGATAATTAAGGTGGCTTATCGCATTGGTTCGACAGCCTGGCCAGCCATGGGGGACCGACTACAATCAGCTCTGGCACGTTTTGACGCAAAAAAGCGACGCCAATTTCGTCATTATCACCCAACCCTCCGGCGTCAAACGAGGGCTGTTTGACGACGGTAGTTGTGTTACTTTAAGTAGATTAAAACAACTACTTTTTAGCCACTTGACTTTATCCAGTATTCATACCATTCACGACCAGTTAAAAAATAAAGTAAAAACACTGTGTAGGGGAATGAAAGGCATTATAAACAATTGTGTTAAAAGTAGTTGTACGTTTCTTTGAAAGTATATTGCATTTATAGTATTTCATTTCAAGTACATTGCGCCCGTTTTTCTTAATACTTTGCCTGAAGTAGTAAGATTGACTCATATATTTTGTACTTTACTGCAAGTACTTTTTAGATGTACACCCGTGAGCGATATGAAGGTGCACAGCCCTCTTCTTGCTTTTGACGCTCCTGCATGTTTTGGAACAAGCTCTGTTCCAGAAGAGGGCTAGAACGCAAAGTTTAGACCGCCAAGCCACGTACCATTTAAGACGTTCAGAGTTAATACAGCATTAGGGAGCCGTAAAACAGGCAAGAAACCAGGTAAGGTGTTCACCTTCATATTGCCGGCGGGTGTACCTATACCCAACGCTGTTATACACCTTATATGCGCCTAATTTATATAAGTTGTGATATGTTCATTGGACACAATATTTATAGAATGTTTCCACTTTTAATCTTTTTTTTTTTTTCATGATTAAAAACGCAACCAAACATCGCGACAGTCCCCTTTTTCTGAAGGTATAACTCAGAAAAGGAGCATGTAGAGATGTTTGATCGCTTTTTGAATTTGAAAACGAGACAGAAACACGCATAATGTAATTATGGATTTTTTTAGGACTCTTAGGGCACGCACATTAAGTTATCGCCGTACAAAAGAAAATAAGAGTGAATCTCTTTTTAGTACCACTTTAAGACCCAAGCTCCCTTGGACGAGGACGACTGAGAGATAAGATCGACAACGTGCTAGCCGCAGTAGCTTGACACCGTGTTCACGCATATGCAGTTACGGAGAAAACGAAGACCCTCACCGTACACGACGCCAAGTAAGAGGGTTAGGTGCAAAGTCTCGCTGGCGAAGAAACAAGCGGACACGGCGAGGCATCCCAAGACACATCCGGCCAGCGTTATCTTCCAGGTGTCGGTGTACCTTGCGACGATGCTGGCCAAGAGACCTGCGGATATGCGTCATATAATTAGCATACACATAAAAGGTGAGCTCTAGAAATAGAAAAAAAAAAAAAAAACGACACATTTCGTCACACCGCTGCTGCTGCTACAACAACAACAAAAACAACAAACAACAAAGCAACAAACAACAACACGGTGTTCGCGGTAGGCACGATAACGGAAGTATATCTGCAGTGTCACACCTCGAGCAGGTTGGAATGGGTGTTTTGCTTCAAACATATGTTCGTTTCAAACATGTTCGCAGACAGTGTTTGTATGGACAATGTGACCGTCATAACAAAGAACAAATACGCCTCAGACATTGTGTGCAGACACTGTTCTTTGTACGATGCATTCGCAGAGTTTAATAAATTAACATACGAGTTATTTAATAAGCATACCAACACTTGTATAAAAATAAATAGCAGAAGTCCTTATGGGATCCTACATGTTCTTGTGTGTTTATTGAACGCATTTGTATGCGGAGAGCAAGTCGTCTGCTTCTTTGCGCGGATGTGATGGTGACGTCAGAACGACGCCGAGCCCTGATTGGATTTTATTGAAGGGATAGTGGGTAAACCTCCATGATGGAACTTAACCCGAGACTGGGGTAGAAACAGAAACAAAGGAGAAGGGACAGAGACAAGTGAAGAAGAGAACGTCTCTTCTTCAGAGACAAGTGAAGAAGACGTTCTCTTCTTCACTTGTCTCTGTCCCTTCTACTTTTAGTTTCTGTTTCTACCCCAGTCTCGGGTTAAGTTCCATCATAGTGAATATCCACCAACTCGCCTGTACTTTAACCGTTTTTTCATAAACCTCCATGCTGGAAGCCTGTGAGGTCTACCCGCTATTTTGTTTTTTTCAGTCAGCCAATAACAGTGCGGCGTTCTGGCATTATCGCAGTCTCTGTGGAAGAAGCAGACGAAGTTGCGCTCCGCATAACTTTTGGACTAGGGTAGCGCTAGCTTTTCAGAGGCCAAAGCGTTCTCGCGCTAAATGCGAGCGAAAGCGTCTTCATGCCGCCAATAGGGAGTTTTAGTAGATCGTCCCAATAACCTCGATGACGATTCCCGATATTCCGCAGACGCCTTTGCGTACGCGTCGTATCGGCATCTTTATCGAAGGTATCGTCACGGTCTAAAACTTCCTATAGTAATTGGATACACGAGTATAGTGTTTATGAGAATTGAGATAGATTTTAATCTCTACTCGATAGAGGAAATAGCACGTTATGAATAACCCGTTGGTGCAGCGATCACAAATGTTGCAACAGATTATGGCACGCGAGTATGTTTCTCTTAGGCAGAACTAGGCAGAATTGCGTTTACTTCATCGCCATCTAAACTCCAAGACTCCTTCCTTGCGGTATCTGTTCACCTGGGTCCTTCTTTTGTGTGTGTCAGAGAACAGTATTTTGTTTTTGTTTTTGTCTTAGAGAGGGCGCTTATCGATGAGTGTATACAAAAGATGGTTCAACGTAACGTATATGATAAATACGTGTCGCTTACACACACCGAGAGACGAACTTTGGAAGCGAATGAGGTAAGCGGCAATTCGGCTACTCCAGTGAAATTGACGCCACGTAGTGGCAACACCGAGAAGCTCCGAAAGAAGGTCGTTTCGCCTTTGTCGTCTGCTTTCGCTCCTTGGTTCTCGTAGGTAGCATAGATTTACGCGCTTGTTTTTCAAGCTCAACAAGATGATCGCAGCTCATCGGCCAAAAAAAAAAAAGGATAGCAAAGTTGTGAAAACATCTTAGTGATGTGCAATTTCCATCTTCCGTGAGCTGAAAAACAACGCCTTTACCAAAACACATTCCCGTGCTAAAGCTTGTAGTAAGTCCAGCCGACTTAAGTAGATTTATAAAATACAGGTTGCATCTAAAGACACCCCAAAGAAAAAAGAAAACAACAACAACAACAAACAAACGATTCTAAAGTTTCGTTGTTTCTGTTTTATTTCTTTTTAATGTGTTAATCAAAAAGATTCTTACAACCTTTCGCATTCAAAACATCAGCCTATATAAATGTCGTAAAACGCGTTATAAAATTTGATTACTTGGGGGGGGGGGGGGGGGGGGGGGCGTGTTGATTGGCGCAAAAACCCATTCTCATGCCTGCGAGACACTACTTTACGCAAAGACCTAATTTTCGCAAATCACCTATTGCACTGCTAAATAACCGGTTGTGTCAACAAGTCAGGCGGGACGTCAACATTGCTCAAACAATATTGAAGTTTCTTTGAGCACCAATTTATACTTGCACAAAGACACATCCACAGGAAGTCCGTTGAGGTTCCGTATCAATAATATATTTAAATTAGAAGAAGCCATAGTCAGATCGCCCGTCTACTTGAACGATTTCGCGCCTTCGTCGGCGTTTCTTACTGAAGTGTAACCGGCTCGTATTACTCCTTCACGCTTTGAGGACTTCTCGGCATGACTGTTACATTCGCGCCTTGACTTCCTAACGGAAAAAGAATTGTTTCTGCCGAATTGTAACTCTGCGACTGTGACACAGCCGGGGCACGACGGCATGCACGCCGAGGGAGGGAAGGGGGTTCGGGGGGAGGAGGACAGTTTGTGGTGGCGGTCACAAGTAGTTTGGACCCTAAAGGGCTATTCCACGCCACAGGAGATTCAATTTTCGTCATAATGTGTATATGCATGAAAAAAAAATAATAGGAATAAAGACCCGTCTGAAAGTAAGGATGGCTAAGTTTGAGGGCTTAATTATGTTTATTTTTGCTGACGTCATGCTCCAAAGTACCTGTATCGGAGAAAACCTTCTGTACTTCGAAATATTCTAAAAAAAAGCACTATTCTTATCACATAATTTTATGTTAGTATGCAATCGAGCATTTATGTATTCTATCTTACATTGAAAGGGGAACAATTTACGCCGCCATTCTGGGTCCAGAGAGGCACTCGAAACCTAAGCAAATTTTAAAGATTTCTTGATTTTTTTTAATAAACTTGAAATTAGAAATGGACTAAAACCTTTTTTACTTATTTTTCTGAACCTTATGCTCTACTAGGTTGCATTACAATTTTAAATAGATTATTTTGACAATTTTTAATTAAATTGTGAATATCTCACTTTCTGCAAAAACGACCACGTAGAGGGTAGAAAAAGCCGTGTGGCCGTGGGCGACGGTGCTCACATTTTCTGATATAGTCGAAAGTTCAACTGATACCATCTGTTCAACATATAAAAAAATTTGAAAAGTACTTCTTGTTAACTTATTATTATTATATATATATATATTTTTTTTAATTAAGAGGCAGAACGGCATCACCTCCAGGCGTCCACCTCGTCGGCAACTCACGCCGTCGTCTGCCACGGTCGAGTGAAACACTGCACGTGGTACTTAATTTCGTTAATTATATTTGTATAGCTAACGTTGAGAATCTTGGCATTATGGCATATAGTGACTAGGGAGTGCGTATTTTTTTGCTCTAAACAATATGTCGGGGTGCGCTTGCAAGTTGAATAGCAACAACTCGAAATATTGTTTGGGATACTTTTTATTAAAGGCGAAACAAAGCACATTTGTAGCGCACCGACATTTCTTTTCCTTATGTAGATAAATGTAATATATTGTTGAGAAATACTATATCACATTTAAAGATCAGTGTTTCATTGGCTTTCAGTTGACATCATAGTCTAGAACAGCGGTTCTCAACCATTGATGTTTCAAGGATCCCTTGTGGATCGGCGGAGATGATGGAGGACCCCGGTCGTGGTGGGGAAAAGGGAAAGGTATAGTTGAGTTATGATAATGATTGAATAAATAGATACAACTAAGGGGTGCGTGAGCCGTCCTGTCGTGTTTGTTCCTTTACTCTTGTTCAAGTTTCTTTACCGCTGTTTCTTCCCAAGATGTTCACCTCAAACCAACTAGCCCAACACGTCACATTGTTGACGTAGGTTTGTTCATTGACATACGTAGCAGAAAACTCACCCGAAAACTAGAACGTTTCACTTAATCTAAAGAAAAAAAAAAACCTTTTTATTGCGGGCTTAATTGATGATGCAGGGAAGGATTCGCGGACCACCAAAATGTGTCCGCGGACCTCGTGGGGTCCGCGGATGCCCATTTGAAAACCACTGGTCTAGAACACTGCAGACGTCTGATGTGCATCACTGATATATAGTCCGTCTGCTGCAATGTATTTAGCGTCGCACGGAGAACTCTTCCCGCACGTTTCATATGGTCGTTATTTTAGCAACCACTTGCACGTGTCCTCTAGGCGCCACGTAATGGTATTGACGTGTTTTTGGTATGACTTTTGCTTGCTCATAGCGGTTCGCTGAATCTTTGTCTCTCAGCTGTGACGACGCTATCTGGAACCCATATGACGTTCACACTTTCCACTAAAGTCTTCGCCCATTCATAAGGATCTTGTGCTGTGATGATCTGATTGTCAAATGACGTTTGAATGCTAGCTTTGCTAGTCAGCCTTTTTATAGTGAAGCCTAAGCCATCACAAGGGCTTTTTCCATAATATGTAGCGAAAGAGTGCCACGTCGATTCCAACTCGATGTCCTCCTTGTGAAATCAGAGGTTAAGGAAGATTTTCCTGTTCTTATAGTGAGAAGCAGCGCCATACGTAAAATGATGAGCTTTTGCGAGGTCTGCTTTTTGTTTTCTGAGTTCATGCAGAAAGTGGTGTTGAAATGCATGCCCTGTCGCGTTGTCATATTGAAGGGAGTCCGACTCAACCACGAAGGGATGAGTAATGTATACGAGTCGATTCCTTCCTTCATGCTTCGAGTGTAGGCAACTACACGATGAAGTGTCGCGGTCATGTTGTTCAAGGGGCGGACTGCGCAGCGTCCTGGACGATGAAGCAGTAGTTTTTAAAAAGTCCATGATGGCAATTGCTTCGGTTGGTGGAAGTGTCGATTTCAGAAACCTAAAATAATTTGACTGAACTTTGCTCACATAGAGATGACATTTCAAGTTCTCCAGTTTTTTGAGGAGTTCTCCCACTACTTCCGTG